TCTCTCTCTCTCTCTCTCATACACACACAAACACACGCCACATCACACAAAACAAATGCACACGCACAAACACACACAGCACACACGCACATAATGCGGCAATCACACTTCATCTTCGTCGACCTGCACGGTTGAACCGCCGACGTCCCACCATGCGCCACTACTACGTCGTCGCGGTCGAAGCATCCCAAAGCCGCCGCTCGTCATCACTGTCGGTGACACTTTTTTTTTCAAGCTAGCATCAAAGACGATGATGTTGATGAGGAAGAGGGCGTTGACGCCTTCGACAACGACAATAATGCTCGGTGCGTGTGCTGAAGGCGTTGACTGCAACACCCCCCAATATTTTTTTTGGCTAACTGGTCGTCCGCCGGCGTCGGATGGAATACCATCGTGTGATGACGACCGACTTTAACAGTCAGCAAGTGTGCGACGGCCAGCTCTGAATATGAAGCTTTTATTACAGAGACCTCTCTAGAAAATTTGATAAATGTCAAGGTCTAATTTATAGATTCCATTAATTTAACTAAATTACAATTTAGCTCATGGGATAAAATTATAATTTAACTAAATTTTAAAAAAAAAATAATTTTACTTCAATTTAATTATATAATTTATAGAAAAATATAAACTACTATTTTTTATATATTTTATTCATACCTATATATATTATAGTTTTTTAATATAAAACATTAAATAAGCATATTAAAATATTAAATAATTTTCTATAATATAAATAATAAATTATTTCAAATATTCAGATTAAATTTAACCAACCAAATAATCCACTCATTTCGGTTAAGTTTTAGATTGGATTTGCAAAAATAAAAAATAAAAAATTTTGAACGGCAAGATGCAATAGTATAACAAATGATGCACATTAGTCATTGTCAGACTGCACTGATATGGGATATTATACCATGGACCGGTCCAGTGGATGAGAGAGTGATAAATCGGACCAGCCGGACCGGTCGACTGAAGTACATGTCGGTCGATGAGGGCCAGAGATCAAAACTACGTGAATTGTAGAGTACCCGACAAATTCGCGCTCTATAACAGATCTAGTAGAAAGGGGGAGTGGTCGATTACAAACAGTTGCAAGATCAACCATCCCGCACTACCTAGGCAGCTCAAGGGCCTGCCCAGATATGGTCGAACCACAGAGCCTTCAAAGGAATCTCTGACACGTGCGCAGAGGACACGCAACCTGATGGTTGGTCCACACTGATAATAGTTTCTGACACATCCGAGCGTACTCTGACACATTCCTGATATCAGGATAGTGGAGGTAGTGAATCATACGACCGGGCAGCTGGGGCAACCAGCTCAGCTTGCCCGGGCAGCTCTTAGGGCAGGTAACTCACCCCTATAAATAGGGATGAGATCTCTCATTTTTACACACAATCTCTCATACTCTTAAACACTTTATCACATGTATTCATCTTCTCAAGACTGACTTGAGCGTTAGAGGCTCTTCACCGGAAAATGCCTCCGGTGCGAGAGTTTTGTGCAGGTTCGGAGTTCTACCGGCGAGGAGGACGAGCTCAAAGTGATCCTAAACCAGTCGGAGCATTACACTTGTATTATGCACGATATTGTTGAACATAGGCTATTTTCGTCCGAGTTTGGCTATAGTTACAAAATAAAAAATAAATAAATTATTTTTAATTTTTATCTATGTATATATTATTTACTAGTACAACACATGTGTATTACACGGGTGCCGCTAATTTTTTTCTTAAAATTTAAATTTAATGAGAAAAAGTGGTTGAAATTTTTTAATAGTTTTTATACAAAAATATATATTATTATATATTTTAGTATGACATTTGTTACTTGTGCGACTTATATGTGTTACATTATAATAATTTTACTAACTTATAACATATAACTACATTAAACATAAATATATTAATTGAGAAATAATTTTATTTTTCAAATTAATTTTAATAAATAAAGTTAGAATTGTATATAATTTATTTATTATATATATAAAATATGGACGTCAAATCGAAACTCATCAAAAGATGATTAATTTGATATATTATATATGTAAAACCGATAAGAAATACGAAAGTTATCAACTTTTAAAATACATTTACAATTCACTGGTTATAATAAGAAATAATATTAAAATACAATTAATATATCTAAAATGATCATAAATAAATCCACGGATTTATGGTAATCCGGACCTAATTATATTTTGATTGAAATTAAATTAAAATCTATTCAAGCCAAATAATGAAGCATGAAATTTTGACACATAGGATCCCGAAGCATGCGAGCTTGCCACTTAGGCTCAACACATTTGGGAATTATATATATGGGGGATGGGGGATTTTCATCAAACAACAATACAAAGTATTACCTAAAATATTACAAATACTTAATATATTTTTGTATAAAAGAACATAATTAAACTTCGAATGCGCATTAGTGTTATACTGATTGCACATTAATGACTGTATACTGCACTTTACTGTAGATGGGTTGCACCTTAGCGACTGACAGATTGCACTATAGTGACTGAACCTGACCAAATTCGTTTATTTGTGTTCGAATTTTATGTCTGATATATTATGTATGTTTACCTTTAAAATTTTAGTTACTTCGGTTCGATATCATTTTTTTTTAAACAACTGAAATAACCAAACCAACGAAACAATATGGAAAATACTATTTTTTATTAAAAAAATATTATGTTCCAATCAACATAAATAAAAGATTAGATACAAATATTAATGTGCACATAACATAACATTAATGTGCAATGTAATTTTATTGTTAACGTACAATTTACATAACATTAATGTGCAGTTATTGAAATTTCGATAAATTATAAATTTAACCCATGAACTAAATTGTAACATATTAAAGTTTATAAAATTGCAATTGAGTCATTTAAACATGTCAAATTTTCGAAACAAAACCCAAAATCTAAAAAATGCATAATTCCCGTTTCATTTTTTTCCGGCGATGGGCTAAGTGAAGGCGGGCGCGGGACAGCCTAGCAGGAGGGTGGTGGTCCTCGCCACTGGGGACCTGCAACTTCTTTGGTGCGTGTCGCAGCGGAGATGTTGTGGGTTGCAATGGTGGCAGGTGGCGACGTGGGGGATGTTTTCGGCGGTGACGTTAGAGGCGCGACTGGTGGCGGCAACGAGATGGCTGTTGCGACTGGAAGACGGTGGCAGACGACGGAGGCTAGGCAATGCTACTATGGTCGGACGA